CTGTCTTACCCACATCAGCTCTTCCATCCTAATAGCAAAGCTCTATTTTATTTTGTCAAGGCTCACCTCCAACCCTGTGAAATCTGTCAAAAGTCAGATCCCAAGACCAAATACCATAGCTTCCCTTTTCCCACCCACCAGGCCAGGGGCTCCCTTCCAGGAACTGACTGGTCGCTGGATTTTACTCATATGGCCACTGCCAGAAGAGTTAAATATCTCCTGGTTTTGGTGGACACCATGTCTGGGTGCATTGAAGTGTTTCCCACCAATAATAAGAGGGCCCAAACAGTTTTTGATGTTCTTCTCTGAGAAATCATCCCCCATTTGGAATCCCAACCTCAGTTCAGTCGGATAATAGCCCAGAGTTTACTTCCCAGATTTCTCAAACTTTATCTAAGACTCTTAACATTTCCTGGCATTTTCATGTCCCATACCACCATCAGTCTTCAGGGAAGGTAGAACGAAGTAACCGTTCTTTAAAAAATGTTCTTGTTGTCGGGCAGTGGTGGTACATGCCTTTAATCCCAGCACTCGAGATGCAGAGGCAGGCAGATCTCTGTGAGTTTGAGGCCAGCCTGGTCTACAGGAGCTAGTTCCAGGACAAGCTCCAAATCCACAGAGAAACCTTGTCTCAAAAACCCAAAAATAAATAAATAAATAAAAGTTCTTGTTAAAATGTCACAGGAGCTTCACCTTGACTGGGTAAAACTTTTGCCTCTGGCCCTTCTTAGGGCTCTCCCCCAAAGCCCCCTTTTCATCCCGCCCTTTGAACTCATGTATGGGTGGCTGTTTTTTTTTTTAATATTTATTTATTTATTTATTTATTTATTATGTATACAATATTCTGTCTGTGTGTATGCCTGCAGGCCAGAAGAGGGCACCAGACCCCATTACAGATGGTTGTGAGCCACCATGTGATTGCTGGGAATTGAACTCAGGACCTTTGGAAGAGCAGGCAATGCTCTTAACCTCTGAGCCATCTCTCCAGCCCCTGGGTGGCTGGTTTTAACTTCCGGCCTCTCACCTAAAACCTCCCCTCTTCCTGATCATCTGTTTATTCTGCTGTTATCCCATCTTTGCTCCCTATTATGGGATTTCACCGACTACTCATTACCTCAACCATGTGCCAGTTCATGCCCACCACCGATTAAAATAGGGGATCAGGTACTATTCTCTCCCCCAGACCAATGCCCCTCACCCCTTTCCCCTAAATGGCGGGGCCCCTTTAAAATAATTCTTGTAACTCCCACAGCTGCCAAGCTCGAGGGACTCTCTCATTGGATTCACCTGTCCCACCTTGAACCTTTTACTCTTCCAGCTCAAGATACTCCCTCATATACAGTAACTCAGACAGGGCCCTGCTCCCTTAGGTTCCAGAGGACACCAAGATCAGCCACTCTTTCTCCAGTTCCAGAAAAATGAAAGTTTCACCACCATACTCAACTCTCCTGTGCCCAAAACTCCACATGCTCTCCTCTTGCTCTTTCTCCTATCTATCTGCTTTACCAACTTCTCTATATCTCCAATGTCATACTTAAATTTCCAGTTAACCACTCAGCTGTTATTACAGGGACCCTCATTAAACATAGAGCCGGAGGTACAAGGACTGTCAAAAGCCCAGATGGGAAGAAACAATAACAAGTTTGCAGCCCCAAACTCCAAAAACTCACAAAACAGACTTTAACCTAACAGGTTTATCAGTGACTGCAGCGGTGTCTCCTGGACGTTAAGGTGATACCATGATGCTAAAGGAAAAGAAGTGCTTTAAGATTCACTTCAGGTAAAACATTAAAGGGTCTAATAATTCCCCTTTCCAATAAATCCCCCTACTTTCCCTCCTCCCACCGTCTTCCATTCCAACACTATATCATCATAATCATAAGCTTTTAATATGTCTAAAATTTATTTTTCAAATTTTTTTCATAAGCTCCAGGGAGTCTATTGGACCTACCTAAATGGACTAGACTCACCCAGAATAAATATCATTTAATTCTTCCCTTATCATTCCTAGTCTTGGGAGCCCCTGGGAATTTTCCTCCCCCAACAAAAGACCCCCCCCCCCCGCCATCGTGGTTCTCTGCTCTCTTAATCACTGGGATCTAAAATTTTTTCCAGACATAATTTTCTGCCTTTCCAGCATCTTGTGAGGTCCAAGCTGCCAGCCAGCCAGTTCCACAGAGCCAGGAAAAACACAACAGTAATCAGCCATCCCAGGACATGGTCAAGCATCTCAACTCCCTGACTCCCGCAAAAAAAAAAAAAAAAATAGCAACGATGCTCACAAAGTCAGCATGAAGCAGTCACGAGAGACCTTAAGACGCACGGTTCCCACCCATTAAAAGACCTCAACCCCCCCTAAGTTTTATAATAAACAAAAGGGTGGAATATAATTATTCAGTCACAAATAAGGCCACACTTCCAGGTTCTAGAGCCATGCACATAAGCCCTCAGGAGGTGCCTGAATGCTAAAGGGCCCCCGCAGGATTCATATGTGGTATGACCCACATGTGCACATGCACGGTTACACCCATGATAACTCAGTTAAGCTCTTGTGTGCATGCATGATTACATCCACTATGACTCAGGTAAGCCCTTGCACACATGCATGAGCCCATCATCTACATCATCTGTGTATGATGTCTACTCACGCCTACCCCCTGTGCGCATGTGCTAGGCAGCTTTTAAAAAGCTGGACACGCCATCTTTCTCTCTCTCTGCACACCGATTCCCCAGGCCTGTACGCACTCCCTCTAATAAACTCCTAAGCAGGTTTGTTGCGTGTTCCATGTTTCCTTCTCACTCTCGCCCAGGTAATTTCACTGACCTCTGATAGGACTTTTAAACTTAGAAAGTGTGGCCTGTGCCCAGGCAGAATGGGGAATGAGAAACAGGCCCTGTCTGGTTCCTGGTACAGCAGGAAGGTTGGCAGAGGGAAAGAACATGTCCCGCCCCCTGCCACGTGGCCCGACTTCAGATACAAGCTGACAGGCAAGTTTGAAAAAAGATAGACTCAGGGAACTGCAACTTCAAGGACAGTTAAAAATAAAAATAAGCAAGTTAAATATGCTTTCCTTTACATTTTACATTTTTTTGCTTCTTTGTCAAAAATCTGCTATTTGTAGGTGTGTAGATTGATATCCAAGGTGGATTGGTTTCTTTGGTCGTCATATCTTTTTTTTCTGCCAAAATCAAGCTGTTTTCAGTACTGTGGCTCTGTAGTGAAGTTTGAAGTCAGAGATTGTGATAAATTCAGAAGTTCCTTTATTGTACAGGATTGTTTAGGTTATTCTAAGTTTTTGTTTCTCCATATGAAGTTAAGCATTGTTCTTTCGAACTCTGTGTAGAATTTTGCTGTAATTTTAATGGACATTTGCATTGAATCTGTAGATTGCTTTGGGTAAAACTGCCATTTGTTGCTATGTTGGTTCTACCATCTCAAGATCATGGGAGATCTTTCTGTTTTCTGATGTCTTACATTTCTTTCTTCAAAGATTTAAAGTGCTTGCCATACAGGTTTTCCCACTTGTGTGGTTAGAGTTACTCCCAGATATTTCTTGGTATTTGTAGCTATTTGTAAAGGGTGATGTTTCTCTGATTTCTATTTCAGCTCACTTATCATTTGTGTAAAAGAGGAACACTTCAGCTGTTTTCAGATTCTGCTATGACAAAATAATTCTGCTATGAACATCGTTGAACACATGTCCTTATGGTCTGGTTGAGCATCTTTTGTGTATAGGCCCCAAAGTGGTATTGCTGGGTCTTAGGATAGATTGTTGTCTAATTTTCTAAGAAATTGCCATACTAACCTCCAAAGTGGCTGTGCCAGTTTGTACTCCCACAGCAATGGGGGAGTTTTTCTTAACCCCACATTCTGTTCGGCATAAGTTGTCATAAGTGGTTTTTGATCTTAGCCTCTCTTGCAGGTGTAGCATGGAATCTCAGAGTTGTTTCGATGTGCATTTCTGTAATGGCTAAGGATGTTGAACGTTTTTAAGTGTCTTTCATTTTAATTTCATCTGTTGAAAGTTTTCAGTTTAGGTTTGTACCTTATATTCTTTTATTGGATTATTTGTTCTTTGGATGACCAATTTCTTGAGTTCTTTGTGCGTTTTGGAGTGGATTAGTAAAAATCTTCTCCCATTCTATAGGCTGATATTTTTGTTATATTAAAAATATATGATAATGGGATGGCCCCA